TACAATTTGAGAGATGCCCCTGCTGAATCTGTTGCTTATCATGCTCAAAATACTCCTCCAGTTCCTCCAAAACCACAGCCAAAAATTCAAGAGAAGACAGATTTACCTGTCAAAAGTTCGCCTCAAGCAGCAGTTCCATATAAGAAAGATGTGGGGAAAACTCTTTGCCCTTTGTGTTTTTCCATCCTCAAAGGACCCATCTCTGATGCACTGGCGCATCACTTAAGGGAGAGACACCAAGTTATTCAAACAGTTCATCCCGTAGAGAAAAAGCTCACATATAAATGTATTCATTGCCTTGGAGTGTACACTAGTAACATGACTGCCTCAACTATAACTTTGCACCTTGTCCATTGTAGAGGTGTGGGGAAGACACAAAATGGTCAAGACAAATCTAATATTCCCTCTCGGATAAATCCGTCTCCAGGTACAGGACCTGTGAAACGTACTTATGAACACATGGAATTTTCTCTTTTGAAGAAAAGAAAAATAGATGATGATGATTCACCCTCAGTTTTTGAGGAAAAGCCTGAAGAACCTGTAGTACTTGCTTTGGATCCCAAAGGTCATGAAGATGATTCGTATGAAGCCCGAAAAACATTTCTCACCAAGTATTTCAATAAACAACCATATCCCGGTCGAAGAGAAATTGAAAAGTTAGCAGCCAGTCTTTGGCTATGGAAATCTGATATTGCTTCACATTTTAGTAACAAAAGGAAGAAATGTGTTAGAGATTGTGAAAAGTTTAAAATGGGTGTTTTGCTAGGATTCAACATGAAAGAATTAAATAAAGTGAAACATGAAATGGATTTTGATGATGAATGGCTATTTGAAAACCATGATGAAGAGAATTCTAGAGTCAATGCTAGTAAAACGGTTGATAAAAAAATAACCTTAGGTAAAGATAATGAAAGTTCTTCAGACAGTTACGAAAATATAGATGAATTCAATGAAAGCAATAGTCCTTTTGTAGAAGTTGTTTCTGATCATAAAACATCTATAATTAGTATAAATGAAAACACAGATGAAAACATATCTGAGGAGGCACCCTTGGAAGCCGTGTTGGAGCCTCCAGAAAAAACAGACCAAAAAGAGAATGGAGGAGATTCAAAAATCCAGGAAAGTTGCTCTGCAGCAGAACCAGGAAAGCAGGCGGCTAATGGCTCAGACAGTGAAGGTGACCAAGAAGATCAGGATGATGTTATTGAATGGAAAGATCCAGTATCAGCCTCTGAAAGCGGACCTGGTTCTCAACAGGCATCTGACTTTGAAGATAATGCATCTGAAGTGAAGCCCGAAACTTGGACTGATGAATCATCCCAAAGTGAAGATGCTAATAGTAAACCAGGTGCAGAAACTAAATGTGTTGTCTCTGAGGGTGATGGAGACCATTCAAAATGGAAGAATAGTTCCTATGGAAAAATAGGTGAGTTTTGGTCTAAGGACCAGTCACAATGGAAAAATGCAACAGAAATTAATGAGAAGTTGTCAAATCCACAGATGGAGTGGCAAAATAGCACAATTGACAGTGAGGATGGAGACCAGTTTGACAACGTGACTGATGGGGTTACAGAATCAATGCATAGCAGCCTAACGGGGGTAGAGCTGAGTAGCCAGCAAGCATAAAAGTTGGTTAACTCCATGACTTCAGTATCTCCCACTTGACAACTCTCTAAATACTTTCATTTACAATGAATGCTAAAGTTCATTATAACTGGTACTGCCTTTTGAGTGCAAGGTCATCTGGCTAGTGGCTACAAAGCCAATTCTAGTACTTATTTCAAAGTATGCTGTTGGCAAATCTCACTTGAGAGTATGTGCTGTGATGAGCACAGTAACTTAATGTGAAAACTGATATGCTGGTAGCTCCCAGTTCACTGAAGAAAAGGTTTATTTTATTGGCATTTTCAACATTTATTTCACTGTATATGTTCAGCTGTATGTCTTTTTAAACATTACCTTTTCCACATGGTAGTTATAGGGCCAACATAAGAGCTACCAGTTCAATGTGTATAGTAGACTCTGGGAAAAATTGTTTTTTCATGTATCATTCTGAATAGTTGAAATGTATATTTGTACAGTCTTTTAGACCTACTCAAGTGATGCTTATGCTATTGTTCTTGTGTATCCATCATAGATTTGGTTCTTTTCCCTTTTTTTTAGTGTTGCCCTGCTGTGTAATAAATGCTGTATCTAGTTTACCTAGCAAAAAGCTTGAAACTGCTATAGTATGAATTTTGACAGATTTAGTTTTTGCACATAACCTTGTACAATCTCAAAGAGGCCAGCAACATAAAATATATCTGGACTCTTACTGTATTATAGAATTTTCTTGTTCTTGAATATCCTTGACATTATAACTGATGACTATGAATTTCAGAGACATTTTCTGAAATCTTTTAAGCTAAAATCACATGCAAGAAACAAGTTTGCAGCTACTAATTTTGACACCTTTTAGATCTGTATAAAACTGTACTGTGTTAAAAGCAGCATACGGAAATGAGTGCTGCATTTTTTTGGATATTTAGTTTTATCTTTAGTTAACACCTCATGGTGTTATTCATTTATACCATCTAATATATGACACATTGTTGTAGTATGGATAATTTTGTGATCTTTATTTCCCCTTTGTATTCATTTAAACATCTAAATAAATTGCTGTATTGTGCTTAATGTAAATATTTGCTTTTATTACAAATTCTGAATTACCTGTTTCCCAAGTCATTGTGATGGCTTTTGTTGAAAGAAAACAAAATTCAGATGCTAGAATTTATGCCTTGAGAAAATGAAGTTATCTACAGAGTTCTGTATTAACAAACATAAACTATCTATGTGCAAGCTAGTGTTAATATATAATCTACTGAACCAAACAGATAGAAATGTATTAAAATTACAGTACTGTATATGGATTTGCAGATGCAGCATAAAACATCCAAACATTTTAAAATTCTGTTGTTTTCAATGGCAGTTTAAAGATGTGCTTTAAACACTCCTATTGAAATCATATTTAAAAGTACTTTTTTTTTGCAAGTTGACAGTCCTTAAGATTTGCTCCTTGTAGTAAATCAGTGAATGGATTTAAATGTGTCTCATACCCATTATTTGCAGATACGCTATTTGAGTTTTCACACACATCAGTGTATGGGATTGAAGGGTGGCGAGTTGGGGAAATAACAAGTTTTAACATTATTGTCAATGTGTATTTTTGTCGTAATGAGGTTTCTACTGTAGCAGACTTAATTGTAGAGCATTTTATAAGATCTTTTTTTATTAATTTGTCTAGTTCTCAAACCATGTTTTCCTTTTTTCACAATATTTTGCTTATATTTAAATGCCTAGTTTATTGCATTGTGATGCAGTCTGCTGGAGTCAAGGATGTATTTATTATATGTTCTAGCAGAGGGGGGAAATTGCTAAATCTGTATTGGTGTAAACTTGACAATATTTACATTAATTTCCAGTAAAAAATACTTAAGAAAGATTTGTTAAAACTTAAAAATCCCGCTAATGCTGTAACTTTACATTTGAATTATTGCAGAAAAAAATTACACCTCGATGGTAAAGTAGCAATCTGCACCTTACAGTTTCTAGGAGATTATAAATTGGATACCAAATGATCACAAAATCCAATTCACCAGAAGTTGGCAATCTGCTATTTATGTTTGGCTCATTGAAAGTATGTTATGGATATTCTACCCAAATATCTCTCATAATGGTTCTGGCCCATTACAAAACACATTAAGCTGTACCTATTCACCCCTGGTCATAGAGCAACACTTATCCAAATGTGCCCCCCCCCCCCCAAAGGCTTAGTAAGCAGAATTCCAGAGCTGCAGATTAGAAAACTGAAAAAGAATTGGCAGAAGATAATGACAAATCATGTATGTATAGTTGCTTAGAAAACAACATAGCTTGTCCATGAAATTCCAAGATATATTAAAGATTGGCTTGAAGGGACTTTACTTTTACAATCTCCCATATTTTTCTTTATAAGAATACATGGGAAATGAGACCACCTGGTAGTCACCAGGAGTTGAGTTCAGGTCCAGGTAATCTTTAAGACATGTTCATTTTCTCCGCTCTATTCCGATTTGAAGGATTTCTTCCTCTTCTGAATAGTTACGTGCTATTTAGACTGCTTGCCTATCTTAGCTTTAGCAGGCATAAATGCCTTTTCATTTATGGTTCCTCTCTTTATGTACAAATATTCCCAAGTCATTTTATTTCCAGCAAATATATTCATTGATGTGCACGAGCACCAGATTGCTGATAATTCTTGCAGATTTAAATAGGATGCAATGACCTTAGAATTCCTGTTTATCCAGCTTCAAATAGTGAAACATTTTATTTTTTTAAACACAACTAACAGTTGTGTGCTTGGGAGTATGATAAAAAAAATCAAGTCATTTTGGAGTTAATAGTTCATAATAATTGCATATATTCTAGTTGCAGATATCGTAAGAAGAAGTGTAAATAGAACTGACTCTTAGTTTTCATTGTATTTTGTTTTGTCTTCAGGTTAGTGTTGATTGACTCCCTGGACAAATCCTTGAACAACATTTTTCAGAAATAGTTTGTCACGGTCTTCTTCCTAGGTCTGAAAGACCAAATTTTACCTTGTCTGATTTTATGCATGTAACATGATTAGAATTCCTGGTTTCTAGACAATATATTGCCCTTAATTAGTACACCAAACTGGTTTGCATACTGTACACTATATTAATGGTGCAGAGAGTCTCCTGCTTACACCAAATACACTTCAGAAAAAGTAGTTTCCAGCATGTCTTCACAAATATTTTTTCCTTCCATTTTAAATCTTGTTTCCTGATATTTCTTTTATTTATGTAAACATACCTCAAGTATCAAACACAAGGAATAAAAAAAATTCATTGCCCCATAATCAAGACTAGAACACATTGAAAATAGCAGTTTTCTTTCCCATGATGAATTTTGCCCTAATACAAAATGTAAAATAAGGTGGAAAGGAGAATACCCAAATGGTTTATTTGACTATAAGGCAATAAGCATAAATACAGAACTAATGGTTCTGATATTTGCTACCAATATATTTGATAGGAAAATAATCTTCCGTTCTATAAAGTTCAGGCAGGTTATAACTCTGCTGTGCATCTGGAGTACATGTCTGAAACAAAAACAAAAAAGTTAAGTTGGACACCACAGAATTAAAATATTTAATTAAATAGCTTTTAACAACTTATGTCTCTCTGTGTGTACACACACGAGATTGGTTTATGTGGCAAAGATTTCATTATTTCTAACAAGTTAAGTTTAAAATCCTTTTCTCTGCTGCGGATTGCACTACAGGGGTTCTGAATGCCAAAAAAGGAGCAAAATTAGCTCTTGAGAATTGTGTAAAACAAAGCTTTTGATGCACAATACAGAAATAAAAGGGGCTCTTTAATCAATAGAGATGATGTGCCAGATGCCCATGTGAAAAATTCATCCCTTCATGTTTTTTCCTCACCACTGTCTTAGATCCCAGAAATTGGATGAGTTGAACCAGAAATTTAATTCTGTTGTAAGGTTCACTTGCTTTGTGTTCATTTGTGACTTATGTCACTAATTTCCGGATATGTTGAATCAGATTTACTCAAGCAAATTCATTGGGGAATAAATGGAATGGTTATACAGAGTATAATACAGGTGTAGTGTTAAAAGCAGTACTTTATGCAATAAATGTTTAATTTCTGTTATGTATATGAGTTTGGCCTAGGGGGATTATATAAATTCTATCATCAAAAATATCTTCCTAAAGCATAATTGCTGCCATCATTTATTGCTTTTTTCAGGTAGCCATCCATTTCCAAGCTCTCAGCATGGAGACCTTTTGGGAGACATAACTGCCAGCGTAAATCTTTTTCTTGACTGTATAGGTAGTCCTCAATTTATAACAGTTTGTTTAGTGACTGTTTGAAGTTGCAATGCCACTCAAAAAAAGTGACATGATTTTTTCACCCTTTTTGCGATCTTCTGACAAACAAAGTCAATGGGAAAGTCAGATTCAGTTAACCATGTTACTAACTTTATTGCATTGATTCGTTTAACAGCTGTCAAAGGTCGTAAAATGGGGGAAATTTCATTTAACGTCTCCTTAGCATCAGAAACGTTGGGCTCAGTTGTGGTCATAAGTTGAGAACTGTCTATATTCTGCTTTAGGTTCAATGCACAGGTTTCATGATTCCAGTTACACTTTCAATAAAACATTGAGAAATTGCATTTAATGCATTTTTTTTAAAAAAAAATCCCTATCTTTAATTTGATACAATGAAGTTATACTGACAGACCAAGATATTCCATCCAGATGTTAAAGGGGAAATCCTTAAGTGTGGCTCCTATAACATGTAACAAGATATGAATGACAAATGGAAGATGTGTATTTATGTACAAAGATAGGAATACCACTCATCAAAATGTGATACCCAACACATTCTTAATTAATGCTTTGCTTCTGTGCCCTTAAAGCATCTATATTTTGCTGATTTACTCTGTAAGAACAAGTCACTTGAGAAAGCAGGTTCAGAAATAGGCAAACCTTGGTATTTTGCTATTCTCTCCCTCTAAAGTGCCTCTGGGTTATTAAAGAAATAGAACTTAACATTAAACATGTTGATGGTTCTGTATTGTAGCTCATGCAGATGCCTGCTGCTCTCACTTGGAAGTTGGAGCATGCAACCAAAGCATCTCCATACCACTCAACTAGATTAGCATGGACTCTCTGATGAATAAAATAGATCAATGTTTCAGTCTGCCTCAATACTGGAAAAGGGTTTCAGAATTTCTGTTAACTCACAGAGAGGCTTTATGGATAACCACAACTTGCATTTTACTATGGAAGGTTTACTGAAGAAAGCCTACTTAGTCATATTGAATATGGAACTAGAAGTTTCTGGAGGTCATAAGTAGGGAAAGAAAGCAGCAACTTACTGCTGTCAACGTGTACTGAAAGCAGTGTCTCTGAAAATAAGAAATCTATGCCTCTTAAGGCAGTTTCTCAACGTTGGCAAGTTTTAGGATGTGTGAACTTCGATTCCCAGAATTCCCCAGCCAGCTAGAGTTGAAGTCCAAATATCTTTAAAAATTGACAAGGTTGATAAATGCTGCTCCAAGGGGCTTTCCTGTCTTGTCTTAGGTAAATAATGGAGTACATAAGGTTCTTCCTTGTGGGGGTAGGGGTGGGGGAAGCGGAAAGAAAGTAGAAAGCATTGAGTACTTAACAAAATAGTTGCAAAATCCCAATGCTTAAGCAGTTACTTCTTTTGCAATAGAAGCAGCACTGCAGGGTATCTTCCTTCATCTCTCCAGCCTAGCCTAGGAATATCACTGCATGATACTTCCCTAAGGACTGATAATGTTTAAGCTGTTGGTAAGGAGGTATGCAGGAGTATTCCACCTCTCAAATTTTCAACCTGCATCTCCTCAGCAACCATAAAATGGCAACCAGCAGAAACAAATTCTCATGGGTGACAACTGACAAGCGGTGCTTTATGCGAATACTCCTGAAGCATTCCTTACTCCTTGCTTTTTCGCAGCTACAGGGTGGATGGTAGGCTCTCATACTTCCATCTCTGGCACCAGGCTGATGGTGTGGAAAAAGCCAAGCAGCCATTCTGAGGCCTACTAAATGTGGTGAAGAAGGTGCGTGCCCGAGATGTTGTGTGGAGGAGGGGCCATCTGCCTCCTGGTTGAGTAAAGGAATATCTTGTTGTGTTGCTGTGTGCAGCTCCAGTAGCTATGCACCAAAACGAAGTGGCTGGAAACCACCAAGGACTTCTGCAATTCTTTTTAGAGAAGAAGGTCAACTCTTCCACTTCTGAGATAGCAGCTAGCTCTCCCCTTTCTTCATTGACAAAAGAATAAATGATTGCCAAGGTTAAAATACTAAAAAAAAACAACCAAGATAGGAACACGGTTTCTCCTCCCCCGCCCCCAAAAAAAGAAGAAGAAAGAAAGCACCCTCTACTTTCACATGCTTCACTTCTCCCTTATTGAGACCAGACCTTCCACTGGAATACTGCAAGAATCAATAGGTAGCCTTAAGGATTAAGCCTTTAGCTTCTGAACAAAGCTGACCCTTTCTCCTTTCTTAAGAGGCAAGCAATACTGGCTAGGAAAAGAGAAATAAACATTTGCGTGCTTTTGCTCATCCTTGGCACTAAATCAGTACATCCACATTTGTATACCCATAATCCTGACCAAAAGCAACTTAAATAGAAGAAGTTAACTTAGCACAAGATTTCCAGATAAGTAACAAGGGTGCTGTTAACTAATGTGGACAATCCTGGTCTACTTACAAGCAACCTCCTGTAATCAGCTACAATAACATTAGCCTTAATACTCAAAAATATCTGACCAGCCGAATGCACTATTATTTAAAATCAAATAGCACAATATGAAACAAGGCAGTGAGCAGTGTGCACAAATGTACACTGATCATGCTAGGCCCAAGAACATTTTACAGATAGATACAACGAACAGTAACTATAGCAGATACATGCTTTTATATCTGCTGGGGATAGTAGATGAAAGGTGGCTTTCTAAGCATCCAAGTCTAGGACACCAGCTAAGGATGGGAAGTGAAAACTCCCCTCCTAAATTTCATGTTTACTCCCTCTCTTGGCAATATTTAACACAAAAGGCATACAAATAAAACTTTAGCAAGAGAATCGTTCCATATTTTTAATATTAAATATGCATTCATAAAACATCTCACAGGTACCAAAAAGATGCAAAGGGAGCTGATAACCAGATTTTCTAACATAGAAAGCACGTTTAACATTTGCTAAGGATTGAGGGTTTCCCTGATGATTGCTGCAAATATTTTTTGAGAGCAGCAGGCAACAGGAACCTCCATCACACACTGACAGAAAAAAATGCCATGCAAAGAAATATGGAGCCATGGAGAACCCTAATAGTGGTTGGATCATACAATCCCAGTTATTATATCCATTAAGAAGCATCCTTCAAATTTTTATTGCATATCACTTTTGGCATGGATGTGCATTTTGTTCTATGCTGGGCTGCAGATGGTTTCTCAGTAATATGCCAGGAGGCATTCTCCCAAAAACAGTTAATGTGACTAGGACAAAAACAAAGTATGATTTCATTTTATATGAATGGCAATTTAGATATGAACAGCTAGTAAGAATAGTCTCTTATGCATTTATTAATTTTCCCCTCTATCCAATTAAAATTACAATTTAATTCCAACTTTTTCAAGATTCTAGGGTTTTCTAGGAGCTATATACTGCCAAGAGGAACAGAATCTCTTTTCTTCTACCTAAAGCTAAATTTTAATCTGGAAAAGAAAGAAGAAGAAACTGACATTTCAAGAAATCACCTGGGCTAAACAGATACTATTATATTCTCTGATTCTTTAATTACATTACAAAACATAGAACTAGATCGGTGTTGTAAACCTACATGATGATAAACTCTCCTCATATTTTAAAATCTACATTTGTGATTAACCTGACAACCTTACTATCTCTACGATCACTCTGGATTTTGTACAAGGAAAAGTTGGCTCTTGCTTCTACATAGAATATGCAGCTTGAACACCAAGAAAGATGTGAGGTTGTTGGCTGAAAACTGAATCAATATTTAAAAAAAAAAAAAAAACAATGTGGCTGCTTTAATAAAAAAGTTTAAAAGATATCCGAGATATCCAAATCTGGTTCAAGCTTCTGAAGCAATAAGTGATTCTTCCACCTTGATAACCAAAAATTAGGAGTCTGGCAATACCTTTTCTAACTAGCAAATTTTTATTACAAAGCATGAGTTTTCCTGAACTGCAGTTTCCTTCAACAGATACAACCAGCCATCTAACTTTTTGGAGGAAGTGATAAGATCCCCAGCCCCATTTCAACCCTGGGACAACATTGCTGGTTAGAAGCAAATAAAAATAGTTGGTGTACAGCTACAGGAAGAGACTCATTCTCTCTCTCTGTGGAATTGGCACTGCAACCGAGGGGGGAGGGCACTCAGAACGGAAGCCACAGAAATCATGGAGACTTCTGCAGACCGAGTTCTGTCTGCTAAGTAAACTACCTGAAGAACTGCAATAGCAATTGCTGGCCACAGCAGTTGCCCCCAAAATAATAATAATCCTAGCTACCCTTTTCC